AATGAGCAAAGTTGTTAAGTACGTAGGAGAATTTCAGTAACTGCTGCCAAGGATTCACAAACTCTGACCTGACCAACATTTCCTTCAGGTACTTGAGATACGGTCAGATGTTTAGAATTCTGGACATTCAGTTATTTTTCACACACAAAAGAAATTGTACTGCTTACAGGCTTATCCAACCGTTTCATTTACACAGCTCCTTAAAGACACATATCGACTCTTCAGTCGAAATGCTCCGCATTCAATGCATTACATCAGGCTTCGGGATAGGATTTTGGAAACAGAATTATTTACAGAGAATTATCCTGAAGAAATTATACACCATTTACAGTCAAAGAACATTTCGATTGCTAAAATAATTATCCATATGGAAGTTGAACAATCTGAGGACCAGGCTGTCTCGAGGAATCTGTTTCTCACTGCAAGAAGTGAAACCACCGAAAGTATCACAAATGTTGAGTAGAAGGGGTGAATTAATTATTTACTTGGTAAAATGTCATTTTATGACAAATTCGGAGAGTTTCAAAGGAAAAATTAGAAAATTTTCCGCTTTGCAAGTGATAAGGAAGAATGTAAACAAATCGCCATATTGCCAAAAGCTCACCAGATGCGACTAGCACCAGTCAACTTTAGGCGAAATCAGAAAAATGATGACCGTTGTTCTGTTGAATCCGCGAGAATTAGATGTGCCTCACTCAAAATACATTGGCGGAATAGGGCGTGCTCGGTCTCTATTTGTCTCTGTACTCTATGCTCCATGAGGGGTGTTGTCTTGACTCTCAGTATAAAGGGACTCTACTACTCTAGTCAATTGTTCATTTTGGAGGTTACGTTTGTTTGTTGGGGCACATTTCGACTTTCGAGATATCGAACCACCAATATCGCTCCGTGACGTTACCACTAACATCGTCTATTCCGTATCTGCTCGACTCTACTCAGCTCGGCCGGCCCCCATGCTGTTTAAGTGATTACTTTTCATCTGCTTTTCATCTCTGATTTTCAAAGCGTTTGCAAGAGTCATGGAACTTCCAGAAGATAGAAGTAAGTATCGCATGTTCACTACTCATTTGATTCTTACTAGATTTAGGGTTGCCATATCCAAAAACTACTAAAGATGACAGGTTGAGCCAGCAACGAGGACAGGAAGAGGATCCTTCGGATATCCCACAATCGTGAGGCGTCTTGTCCAAAGTCAACTGAATACAGATTGTTGTTAACATCCCTATTAATAAATAATATAAAAAAGAAGCGGTCAAAACGAGAACATTTACTTGTCCAAGAAAGCATATTCTGTAAAAACGAAGTGGATATCCTAACGTCACTATTAGAGTACCTGTATAGGGAGAGTAGCGACAGATCGGTTCATGGAGGGCTTAGGGCCCAAAAGTGCAGCCACCCTTCTGAGCAACTTCTAACACACAAAATTTCACTGCCAGCCTACAGATTTCAATTCTAACCAAGATGGCTAAGAATGTACATATATGAGCGTTCTTTCGCAAAAATAAGTAAATTTATGCAAAAAATAAGCCAAATACATGCTTTCTAAACGACGGTTCGTAACAATTGTATTTGTAAATCGCTCTGGACATTCGAAATTCATAGGTTGGCTGCCCTTTTGGGCCCTAACTTTATTCGCGGAGGCATCGGTGAAGGCCTGATGGACTTTCGGAGTTTCAGATCTGTCGCTACTCTCCCTATACAGGTACTCTAGTCACTATGTCGGCTTCAAATTTTCGCACCTTTTTCTCTGTTGTAATTTGAGGTGAAGATTCCACATTATTAATTAAAATATATAACCAATTATATGTCTTCTTGATCCAGCATTCAAAAATAGAGATGCATCTGTAGGTAGGCTGGTTTTTCCTTGGTGACATCTTTACTATCAGTCAACTTTTTTCAGATCAAAAAATGATTTTGAGAGGGAAGGAATCCTTGAAATTCTGGAAGATTTTAAACATTACTTCACTGTTGTAATCTGAAATCCATTCCTGAATATCAATCTGTAAAAAGTTAAGTGCTCATGACTGGCAGAGGAGCAGAGAGCGTGCACTATTGAGTTTCTACACTTACCTCAATTTTTAAATGGAAGACCAAGAAGGCACTAGGTCAATCTTATTTTTTAATATTGGTACTCAGATCGGACGTTGAAGAACGACCCTGCTTGTTACCGAGTTCCATGAAAGAGCAAAAGCAAGAGCGACTGTAGCGCCATGGCGTCTTTACAGTGAGGTAGTCAAATAGTGAATCTGAACCTATGAAGATCTACAAATCGTAAACAAAAAGACCCTTGTAAAATCCTCAGGAACCGAGACTTTTCCGTGTGCTTTTGGTACTTCCCTGGACAGGGTGCATAAACGAGGACAATCTTGATCAATCATAACAACCCCTGATGGCACTCACTGGTTGTTTTAATTTGCACTCATCAAATGTGTTTTGGTTCTTTTGGAAATCAACTGCAAAATGCTGTTCACTGTCACTATTTCTGTGCTTTATTACTGTTTGGCTGTGCATTCATTTGGCCATTTATGGGTGATTCCCTAATCCTAGTAAGTTGAAGAGGGCTATAGAACTTAGTCACTCCAGAAGCTCATATTACTGGAACATTTTTTTTTTTTTTTTTGCAGAATGGAAGAGGAGAAAGGAGAAAGCTTCAACCTCTGGCAATTTACCAAACTTATACAACGCCTGCAAAGAGTTAGGTGAGGTTTATCAACGAGAAGAAAGATTCGAAGAGGCTCTCCAAGAATATCGAGTAAGTAACTTACCATCACCACATCAATCATAAAACTTAAAGAACATTTATTTTTAAAAGGTTTTTCAATATATTACTCATTCTTTTTTTTGCCTCAGCAGAAAAATATCCCAAATACTCCTGCTGGAATGGAAAATAACTAGAACTGACGTGAGAGTTGGTACCTACTTGTTTCTTTTCCATTTGCTAGTGAGTTACAGTCATCCGTGGAGGATTAACTGCAGGCATTGCCGCCATTGTGTGCAGAAACGTAAATTGGTGTACTGCTTGTGACAATCTTAAGTGAACAACTGCCAGCTTATCCGGTAACAGTTGTACTGGAATTTTTCAGAGTTCAAAATTATTGTTTAGGTTGCATTAGAATCATGCTATGTCGTAAAATCAGCAATTCATTATTTTGTTACAATTTCAGGGTCAAACTTGCATCAAAATGTTTGTTCATTTCTTTGAAAATCATTAAATATTTTGAAAATTTGTTGCTCAACGGACTTGAAAACCTTTCATTTTTTTTTCTCATATTCTAGCTTATCAACTTAGCCCAGAAATGGCTGTTTAGATTTTTCAAATTTTTTCCACGCCTGCAATGCTAATCCAAAGTGGCTACTTTCAGGAAAAACAGCTTTTGCGGTATTTGGAATTACTCCAAAATGTTATGTCGGATTTAGGTCTGGTATAAGCAGAATCAAAGGTATTGATACAAGCTTTTCATAAAGTAAAACACAAATATTGTATTAATCATCTGATATTAGGTTATTGGGTCTTGAAATTGCTGCTGTTACAGGTGAAAATTTCTGATTTCAAGCTTTCATGTCTCATAGCTGAGACATGCCGAGGCTCTGAAATTTCGTGTGGTAGTAGTCTTATAATATGTCAGTCAAAAGTCAGAAAATTGATCACTATCTGTGCATTTTCTGCCCACGGCAGAACGTCAAAGTTGATATATCCTTCAGCTGGGGCAATGTCCAAGGTGTAATTTCTCAACTGGCAGGGCACGAAAATTCCTGGAAAAAGTACCAAAGTCAGCTCTAATGGTGAGTGTATTGTGGTATAAGTTTTTTATACAGGGTGTCCCAAAAGTATGTACCCCCCTCGTAACTTTTGAACGGTTATAGATAGAAAAACGAAACTTTGGGAATGTTTCTGTCTCTAAGGGGACCATCTTTTAGGGGGGTCAAAACTTTCGTTCTCCCCTCAGGGGGAGCCGCGGGGGTCCCCAACTTTTTTCTTCAAATGGGAATCCCTATCTTGTGATACATCATTAGAGAGAACATAAAAAACTAAGAATTTTGGCGCAAATCGCAAATCAATATCTTAATTTTTGACCAAGTTATAATAGGTCAAAGGTCAAATTTGACCTATTTTCAAAACATCCAAATTGTAAGCACTTTTAAGTAAAAATCTCAGAAATTACTTTAAACTAATTTTAAGGGGGGTTTCAGACCCCCAAATTTACGTCATTTTAAAGGTCATACGATTTTCTCGCGAAATGAGCCAGTTCCACCTTACTTTTTCTCAACATTATCTTAGTAAGTTCAAAATTAGTTCCACATTGCGTTTTCAAGTCCCCAAATTTCAGGAAAAGTTCAAAAAACGAAATTTAAGGTGATTCAATTCAACCATTTAAACATTTTTTTTAAAAAACTTTTCCCGAAATTTGGGGACTTGAAAACGCAATGTTGAACTAATTTTGAACTTACTAAGATAATGTTGAGGAAAAGAAAGGGAGAATTGGCTCATTTCGCGAGAAAGTCGTATGACCTTTAAAATGACGTCTTTGGGGGTCTGAAACCCCCCTCAAAATTAGTTTCAAGTAATTTCTGTGATTATTACTTTGAAGTGCTTACAATTTGGTAAATTTCCCCGTTTTTTTTTATTGTTTACAATAGTTTGAACCGGACCTATGATTTTTTGAAAATAGGTCAAGTTTGACCTTTGACCTATTTTAACTTGGTCAAAAATTAAGTTATTGATTTGCGATTTGCGCCAAAATTCTTAGTCTTTTATGTTCTTTCTAATGATGCATCTCAAGATAGGGGTTACCGTTGGAAAAAAAAAGTTGGGGGCCCCCGCGCCTCCCCCTCAGGGGGGGACGAAAGTTTTGACCCCCCTAGAAGATGGTCCCCTTTAAGATAGAAACATTTCCAAAGTTTCGTTTTTCTATCTCTAACTGGTCAAAAGTTNGGGGGGGGGGGGGGGGGGGGTACGGAATTTTGAGACAGCCTTTATTATTTTGTATTCCTAGCTTGTACCAATATCTTTGATTCTGTTTTCACTTGTCCTGAATCCGACATACCATTTTGGAGTACTTTCAAATATTGCAAAGGTTTTTTTTTTTTTATCTGGAAATAACCACTTTGGATTAGCAGTGTAGGCGTGGTAAGAATATAAAAAATCCAAAAATGCCATTTTTGTGCTCAGTTGGTACACAAGAATATGAGAGAAAAATATGAAAAGTTTTTAAGGTGGACGAGCAACCACCTCTGGATGATTCTTATCCAATGGCATCAAGAAATTAATTTTGAATTTTAGGAAGATTAGGTCCCTTTTCACAGATCCAGACACAAATGAAAAGTCTGGCTATATGTTTGCTGAAGATAAATGGATGGGACCTAATACTGATCCTTCCGGTTATTATTTGCTAGCGGAAAGCCCGTGACTGAAGTCACGGGTCTAAGTGCTTCACCAAAAATTTAGTTATGGGGAGCCACTATTCGACCACATGGGAGCTTATTTTGCCTGAGTGAGCGTGCCATTTCACGACGATACCGCTATTCGACCACGCGGAAGCTCCTGTTGCCTACACTGAAATTGAGGGCAAAATGAAATGACGTTATTTTATCTTCTCCAGTTTGGTGAAATGCTATTTTTTAAAAACGTTCCAAGTAATCGTGCAATTTCACGATGAAACAGCTATTCCACTATTTACACGTTCTTATTTTATTTCAATCTCCCTCTCACTGCTTTCTTCTTTTTTACTTTTCATTTCTTCTGTCTGTTTGCTTCTCCTACTTTCATTATCTTCTTCTTCTCTCTAAATTTATTCTAGCTTATTTTCTTTCACTCTTCTTGTTCTGCACCATTCGTTGTTCTCCTTTTTCTTCATGCGCATCATTAGCATCAGCATCATAATCATCATCCTCATCTCTCTTTTAGTGTTCATGTGCTCGGACGGGAAGTAAAAAAAATAAAAACAGCTTAATGAATAACAGTTAAGAGGAGCAACTACTTTACTGACAAACGCGGTCCCGACATGACATAAAAACAAATTAGCAGACAGAGAACGTCTATTGCACGGACGATGATAGGTACCACCCTTCGACCACGTGAGAGCTTGTGTTGCCTACACTAATCATTGAAGGCAAACTGTCATTTCACGACGACAATACCGCCATTCAACCACGTAGAAACTCGTGTTGCCTACCTTGAAATTTAAGGTGAACTGAAATGGCGTTACTGTTATCTTTTCCTGTTTGGTAAACACTTTTTTTTCTTTTTTGTTTTTAATTGGAGAGATCGGCAATCCACTTGATAAGTGTTCAGCACAATTTATGGTGAGAGGGTAAGAGCGTGAAGGGGGGTCTTGATCCGGTAGACAAAAAAAATGTAACATAACCTATAACCTACCAATATGTGATTAGATTTTTTTTTATCTTGATCTCAATTTATAAAACTTGACACATTTAATTTATTTAAAATTCAATTAATTTATAATCAAATTCTTTGTCCGGCAAGGATGAATGTTACTGAATTAGGATAAACTTAGATTAAACGGGATAAATGCAGTTTTATGCTTATCAATCCTTTTGCATCTGGAAAATGCAGAAACTTGGTATTACGGACGTTTACGGTTGGATGCGAATGAAACTCTGGGTCCTGTTGGTATTTGGTTCAACAAAACATACCTCTTCCGCAATGCATTTCTGAAATGTCAAATCCTTTCAAAATTGCAGCATGCGAACCCACCCGTAAACGTCCGTAATACCAAGTTTCCACCATTTTCCTCGTTCCTTTGAAGTTATTCAGAATTTCAAAAAATCTGATGACAGATTCGTCTTTTTCATGCCGAAGTGTCCCCTGATACCAAGTTTCTTGCAAATTCACCGATAAGCAGCCTAATTTATTCTCTTGCCGCTCAAGGTCGCCATATTGACCGCCGCCATTTTGAGAAGGACAAAAATTTTCCGGAAAAATAATGCCAGAATCGTTTTTCTCGTTTAAAAATACCTAGGAGAACCAAGTTTCATCCCAATCCATCGACGAAAATGGGGATTTAGATTTCCGATATTTTGAAATTTGACCGGCGGCCAGTCTGTCAAAAATCAAGAGTTTGACTTACGGTTTGTGCCAAAAATTTTCTTTTTTAATTCTCTTTGAATTGATGTGTCACAAAGGAGATGTTGCAGTTTGAAAAAAAAGTTAGGACCCGTAGCCCCTCCCCCCGGGGGAGGGGGGGCAAAAAATTTGGGGGCCCTGAAAGTAGCTTACATTGATCTTTGAACATTCCCGAAGTTTTGTTTCAAAATATTAATTAGGTAAAATTTTAGAAGGGGTAGAAGGGACTTTTGGGACGCCCTGTATACTTGAAGATAGAATATAGGTGAGTTGAGTAGAAAAAAAATGAACACATCGAACACAACAAACGCATTAAATACAACTGGCGCATCAAACACAACAAATATAGCAAACTCATCAAATGCGACAAACAAATCAAAATTGACAAACGCATTAAACACAACTGGCACATGAAACACATCAAACACATCAAGCACAACAAATACAGCAAACTCATCAAACACATCAAACACGACAAAAACACATGAAACATCAAACACAACAAAAACATCAAACACAACAAATGCATCAAACACAACAAACGCATTAAACATATCAAACACAACAAACACAGGAAACACAGCAAACATATTAAACACGACGAACACAACAAATACATCAAACACAACAAACACAGCAAAATCTTCATACACGATAAACATCCCTTT